GCCTGAAGGAATAAAACCTCATGCTAGCTTTTGCAAGCAGTTTGCTGCAACTGAAGGGTGTGGAAGTGAGTTAATTAAGTTAGCTCAGAATGCATCATTACCTGTAGCAAGCAAGTATAGGTGCTAAGAAATTTGGTTCCGTTTCTAGCTGCCAACGTTTCAGCTGTGTATGAATCCACTGACTTTGTTTTCGAAAGATCCAGGGTGGAAGCCATCCCTACTAAAACCAACACTGCCTCTGTCACTGCTAAGCAGCTTTTTACACACTCCTGGGATGGCCGCTGCTCTATTGTGAATCAGGCCAACCCCAGTGTTTGTCAGGTAGAAATCCTAAATGGGAAAAATGGAAAACCCTGGCGGAAATGGTTTCATTCTTCACAGCTCAAAGAATGGACCCTTAAGACCTGACTCTTAAGACTGTCTTCTCCATCCTGTTGGCCGCCCTTCTTGGCCAGCAAGAAGGAACGGCTTTGAGCCGTTGGAAAATATGCATCAAGTGGGCTGGTCGGTGCCTACCTCGATGTTGATACAGGAAAAGGCCAGAAAAGTCCTTGACTTATTATGGCCACCCTTATGTAGGTCATTGCTTCATGTTCACCCTGTAATATTGGTTCCAAATTCTCCCAGTATATATGGGGGGCGGGGAGGGGAGTGTGGGAAGTTTTCTCTCTCTTCTCTGTCCCCTCACAGGTCCCGTACACGAGCCATGACATCCCACAAGTGCAGCAGCACCCTGCTGTTCATAAGTGTCTGGAGTCTGATGCTGTCCAGGCTCTATGCTGTACCTGTGATCCCTCTGAGCCTCTGGAAGTGCTTGCCAGCTGGAGCCCAGGAAGCAAAATTGCTGTGCCACATGCATGGATTCTATGGGAATGGGAGCAACCCCCTGGCCCTGCAGCATCGCTACCAGTTCTACGCTGTTGGCAACTCCTTGGGTTGCCCCTGGGAAAGCACTGTCAATTGCATGCAGAGTGCCACCGGAGAGTCACTCAAGTTTTGTTTTGAAACTAAGACCATCCCAGACTCCGTCCCATTCTTCTGTAAGCCATTGTGGTCTTGAACGGGACGTACACCATCAAACACACCCAGTGACAGCCTCCTGGGTGGCGAAAGGTGCAGCGTAGCCCTGGTTTCTTCCACTGTTTGGAGAACAACCATGCCCCTACGTGTCATCATTGTCGTTGGAATTCAGACACCGCCGTTACCTGGAGATGAACTGCAGCTGTCTCTGATCATGCCAGCAGGCAAAAATATCACACGGTTCCTTGTAAACTGGGAACCGCTGAACTGGACTTTAGCTGGACATGACATGATTCAGCAAGGTCCCCCAGACTGGGTAGTTCCATTAAGACACACATTGTGACAAGTTCATGCCAACAATTTGGTTTAAATTCTTTGGGCATATTGCCATTTCGGAGGGATTTCATGAGCCTGATTGGTACAGAGTGGAATTGGGCCACCACCAACAATTTAATTTTCAACCCTCTGATTACAAACCTTGCTCCCCTCTGATGTTTAAGAGTCCCAATTTCAGGACACCATGAAGGAGGTTCAAATCCACTTAGAGGGCATAAATATCTCTCACATAACACCTGCATGTGCTCCCTTGCTTGGAACTCGCCATAAGGGTTGGATGAATGGGTAATCTGGCAATAAGTCTCACTGTTCCTTCGATGTTATCTAGGAAGAGGGGTATGTTATTGTCTATGCTGGTAAAGCGTGTGTGTGTGTGTGTGTGTGTGTGTGTGGGTGGGTGGGTGGGTGGGTGTGTGTGGGCAAGATGTAATATTGTATTAATTAATGGACATTGGATCCAACCATAGTGCCTTACATTAATTGCTGTTTCTTTAATGTAACCACCATTGACAGTTGGGCCTATATTGACTGTACAACATTTAAATGCCTATCCTGAGCTCTATAAGGAGGTTCCCCCATTTCACTGGGAATGGATCTCATTGCCATTAAGGTAAAAACACAGCCCATCACTCCTGGTGGGAGACTTTGTTTGGGTGGAGCCCTAGTGCAACAGGTCTTTTAATTGTGGTGATCATTGGTTTCCAAATTCTACTATACTTATGTTGGTTTGTTGGATACAACAACTGATGCAGCAGCTGTAATGGATGGAAGATCAGACCTGGTACTATAGGGTAAGGATGTGATAGGGATACTCGCTCAGCGCAAGCATCCCATCAACGGGGGACTTGATACCAGTCATCTCTGTGTTCTTGGGAAACCAGGGCGCAGTATTTAGCCTGTCTGACTCATGAAAGACAGCCGCCCCCCACCCCCGGCTCTGCTTGAACCAAAACTGATCAGAGAAAAGGCTTGCAGAGAGCAGTGAAGGGCGGGAGACACACCTTGACCTCTCCTGCCAAGGGTGACAAGATTAAGACATCTCCATTTGTGTACAGAATAGAGAGTAGAGACAACTCCCATCTTTCATGCAGATGAGGCTAGGGGACAGGGATTAGCATACAGAATGAAGAACGGGGAACCCTACTGATCTCTGGGACCAGAAAAGTACTGCATCAGGGGAATCTCTGCTCCAGATGTTAATGAACCTACGCTTGCCCACACCCAGCTCAGCAGTTATCAGACCAATTCTAGTAATGATAATGAAGCCTTGATTGATATCCAAAATACTGAAGCAGCCTCTAGCCTTTGTGCAGTTTCCCAGGCAGAAGGTGTCACCTGGCCCCAACCCCTCCTAGGCTCAGGTTACGTGCTCAAGTATCATCTCTCAAGTGACGTCACACCCTGATATCCCAGCACCAATGCAGACAGTACCAGTAAAACTCCCGCACAACATTCCCAGCTCAATACTCCCCACTCCCTACTCTGGCACAGGAGTGTACTCTACTTTGAGGGTTAGCCCTTTCCCCTACTCCGGCACAGGAGTATACTCTACTTTGAGGGTTAGCCCTTTCCTCTCCTGCCCCTACTCACTACCCTGGCTCCCGGAGCCCTGGGGTAGTGGCAGTGGGGCTCCAGCAGCAATTTACAGGGCCTGGGCCCTTTAAATATCCCCCTGAGCCTGCCGGAGCCCTGGGGTAGCCGCGGCAGGGCTCTGGTGGCTATTGAAAGGGTTGGGGGCTCCCGCTGCCTCTATCACCCCAGGCCCTTTGAATAGCCACTGGAGACCTGCCCCCACTACCCCAGGGCTCCAGCAGCAGGGCTCCGGAAAAGATTTAAAGGGCCCTGGAGGGTAGCGGCAGGCGGAGCCCCGGGGCTCCGTTGGCAATTTAAAGGGCCCGGGGCTCCGCTGTAGTAGCAGCAACTAGAGCCCCGGGCCCTTTAAATCATCCCCAAACCCCAGGGCTCCCAGCCATCTCTGCAGCTGGGAGCTCAAGCAGCGATTTAAAGGGCTTGGGGCTCCCAGCTGCTGCTACCACAGCCCTAGCCCTGGGCCCTTTAAATCCTGGGGATTTAAAGGCCCCGCCTCTTCTGGTGGAGGACACGCCCCACCTCAGGACTCTGGAGTACCAGCAAGTTCTTTAAGTTACTTTCACCCCTGTCCTCACCCCTCTGCACTTGAGTCAGTCGGCTTCCTCTTTCCCCTCATCACTGTCAACAGGGGCAGCACTGAAGACACAGGAGAGAGTTTCCCTGCTCTCAGTTCTTGTGACTGGGTGGAGCAACTGCAAGGAAAGCCCTGCTCAGCCCAGGGATGGAGCACACACAATCACACTATGGGCTGGGGATGGGGCACACTTAGTTCAGCCAGCACATAGGAGCTGTTTGAAGATTCCATTTGCACTGAGCACGCTCCATCTCCTGAGAATTTGTCTGTCCAATTCATCCATGTCTCTACTGAGCATGTGCAAAGTGAGACTTTTCCAGAGGCTTATAACTTGGTGAAATTTGGGTGACCTTTCAGGGGAACAGAAAAAAGCTCACCAGTGATAATCCCCTATGCCAAATTTCAACTCCTGGATATACAACGTGGAGGTGCTTGACTGTCTCAATGAAATAATTACAAGACCTGGCCATTTTAGCTGAAGCTTTCCAAAATGACACCTGGCATGGACATGAATGGTTAAAGTTTGGCAAAGTTACAAACAACTGAAAACTGGGTCTTAAACAGAAAGTGTTGGGCAACCTTAACTGTCAGTGTGGATACAGACTAACACGGCTGCTACTCTGAAACCTGTCAGTGTGCTACCTGTTATGCTGTAATGGTAACCAAGATGAATACACACTCCTTTTCATGCTCTCCTATCACACCGAAAGCTTCACAGAAACAAAAAGCTATTGGCACAGAATCAAACAAAATTAAGGTTGGAAGTCAGGGGAGTAACTCAGATTTGTTTACACTAGGAAAGAAAGTGAAGCCTAGGATTTACCCAAATGTGCTCAGGTGAAAATTGTTAGCTAGTAAAGTCTGAGCTAGTGTGAGACAGAATCCTATAAAGAAGAGCTAGGAAAGCTGTATTGAACCATCGTGGCCTCTTGAGGCCAGTGCAGGAGTGTCCTCTAAACTCTATCAGCAAAAGTTTTGTCCAATGCAGTTATAACTACTCCTAGTTCCAGTACTGATGGTTGCTTCCACACCCTCTGGCTTGAAGTGGTTTAGTTTGGTTCAGTGGCTCTCAGCACCCCCACTATAAATATTGTTCCAGCATCCATGTAAATGGTATAAGTTTTCACCACTTCTTTTGGAGGGGGAAACCGCTCACTGATTTGGAAAACAATTTTCCTGATTTTTCAGCCTCACTTTTTCCATTAATAAACTTCATCCCATTACTCTGAGTTTATATATTTCTAGCTTGTATTAAATCATTGCTCTTCTTGGTTAGCATTTACAATCTTCCAATACTGGCAGACATTTACTCTACCTCCTTAATTGTCAGGGAGCCAAGTTGTAGGTATTTACTGTATGTGGTTCCTTTTAATCTTTCCTCAGAGATTACTCCCTCTAGCTCCTTAATTATTTTTGATAGTTTTTCTCTGAATGCTGAGTGCTGAAACCTGAATATGCAATAGTCTAAGCATGGTCTTACCATTGCCACAGATAGTTGCTGCAGTTCTCAGTTGCTCTTCTTGGAGTACTCCTCTATTCACACTTTTAAAAGTCAATAAAAGAGATTTTAAGAGCACATGGGGTAATGACTGTTTCTTCCTTGGTGTTTGTTCAGGTCCCAGTGTAAGGGGTCACTGAGCTTGACTGTTGCTGCTAGGAGATAAAGTAATTTATAAATGACTAGCTGCATGGTGGAGGTGCAAAGGGTGAGAATTTTTTCAGCCCAGACCTGTACTTTGTAGGACCATGAAGGGTAAGATGAACACTTATTTTCAGGAATTTCTCATAGCATAAGTGTCAAGGCAAGCTTTATCTACAGCTATGTAAGTAAGTTATAATGAGGAAAACTAGTCAGCAAAGACAACTGAAGTTATTGATATAGCAACATTGTAGCAATGAAAAACACCATAAATGGCAAACAAAGGGTTGTGTTAGATAATTACTATTCACTTCATTGTCAAAGCATGAAACATGCACAACTCCCCATTGTCAGATTTAACAGTCAGCTGGGTCACCGAATGCTGACTGGGCCCCACCTGATCTGTGTCCCCTCCCCCTACAGTCTGCCAGTGGCAGAGGAACAAAAAGATAAGGACCCACAATAAAAACCTGCACTGGGGCCCATGTGCCATAACATCTCACATTCAAATAAGGTCTCACTTTTGTACCCTACGCTCATCCTGCTGCTGTACCCCTATACTGCTCCCCCCCAGTCTCCCACGCTGCCCAGCTCCATGCTGTGTAATTTACTCCCTTTGGTCCAGGCCCTGCACTAGGGCTGCTGCTAGAGTTTTCACCTCTGCCCCTGCCCAAGCCAGAAGCGCTGTCAGGGTAACCAGAGCTGTGAACCATTGCTGCTGCTGCCCTCAGAGCTCTAGGAAGTGCGTTGAACTGGTTCCTGTGACCCACATTTGAATTTGGTGGGGTATTTAGAGAAGAGGGACCTCTAAACATTATGGAGGCTCTGCCCTGGGCAGTCCCACTAGCCAGAATTTGCAGCAGAGCTGACACCTTGGAGGTCCCTTCTTGGGCAAATTCAGCTATGGGACCAGCGCATTGCTCTTTGTAGAGATTCCAGCAGGCTGCAAACAACAGCAGCATCAACTTGTGCCAGGTCTATGTTGTGCAGCCAAGCAACTGTGAGCCTGCAGGGGACCTCCAAGTGCATGGCCTCCTGCTATTCCTCTGCCACTCAATTCTCAAGCCCAACCCTCACAAGTAACTAAGCCATCAGCATGGGAAGGGGCCCTTGCTGCCTCAGGGCTGGATACAGGTCTGTGGGTTGTATGCATTTTACACAGCCCCTGGCTTTCAGCCTCCATTTTTAGGGGTCCTGGGGACCCACACTCACCTGTCCTGCAGTGCTTTTGCAAAATCTCACAGCATTTGAGCATGCCCAGTATTAGTCAGGGTTTCCTACCCCAGCCTGCAGGACTCATGGCCACTGACCGTGCAATATAACCCAGACTTGAGAGAGAGGCATGTCTTCAGTTCCTCCTTGCACCTCACCTTATCAGGTCAAATTAGATCCTTATGGCTTGTGAGGTGGTCTCCCAACCTCAAGAACTGAGCTGAGACCACTTTGATCACTTAATTTAGGACCTCAAAATAACTGACCAAGTTTGGCGTGTAATACTTGAAGGTGAACTGACTGAAACTGACTATATAACTTCATGGTGTTGGGAAATTCTCTTCATGGGATTCCAAAAAGTGTGAACTCTGAGAATGCCATGCTTGATTTTTCAAAAATTCAAATGGGAATTGCATAAAATACCTTGATCCTCACTGAGGTACACTTAGGCAAGATTTGTATAGCTTGTCATGCAAATACGGGTATTGGGAATTTCATTGGGGTGCAATCCAGCACTCTTGGCACAAAGCCAGGGCTGGCTCTAGTTTTTTTGCCACCCCAAGCAAAAACAAACAAAAAAACTTCTGAGAGCACAACTGCCAAAGCAAAAAAAAAACACCCCTTGAATTCTGCCACCCCAAGCACATGCTTGGTTTGCTGGTGCCTAGAGCCAGCCCTGCACAAAGCTACCGTCAATGGCAATGAAAGTTGGTCTGAATAAAAGTTAAGGTGTACGAGTGTTACTTTACCTTAAGAAAAATAGAGGGAAATATGACTAGTGTTGGGCAATTGAACCGGAAGTAACCAAACACTGTCAAGAAAACACCTTGTTAGGCATAAAGAGCTTAAAGTTACAAGGTGAAGGAAAACTGACTTTGCTACTGAAATAAGATGGGCTTAATATTGTGGAACAAAGTGTTCCAAAGAAATCAGACGGTTTAGGTCACAATTAGTCTAAAATGTTTGAGGCAGGATTTTTTTGGCATATCTGCCAAGGAAGAAGAAAAGCCATGTTTAGTTCTAACTCTACAAGGTCTGAGTAAACGTCAGCATGGGTTGAAAAACCTGAAATTGAAGATGCAGCTTACATCTCATCATGTATTTACCAGTTTTTGTTGTTTGCTGTTTAAGAGATTGATTACTACTCTATACAGTTTGGGGAGGAGTGGGGAAGTGCTTCATGGTAGAAGCCCAAAAAGAGGATTGCTAAAGAATAAAACAGGTCAAGGTCTTTTGACCTGAAAAGTGTAAAATTCTAGAACTCTTAAAAGCAATAGGGTTGTTTAGCTCTGACCAATAAAAGTATGTTCAAGATGCCTATCACTTCTTTGCATTGACTGCTCTATGGGTCCATTTAGGAGGAGCTGTCCTATTAAAATAAATGAGTTGAGATTACCCAGCCCTGCTCATCAAAAGTTTTAAACTCCTTAATCAGAAAGCAGCACCATTTTAAATATAGATTTGGTGTTCAAAAAAACCCCAACCTCCCCAAAAAACCTTGTAGAGACCCAAAATCCTTTTCCAGATGCCCAGGTGGTATTTCAATTGACCTTAATTTTTAATTGCTTGACTTTGTTTCATTGGTGCATAGGATTTAACTTTCTCAGATTTTCACATTTTATTCATTTGTCCTCATTTCAAAAGAACCTCCTCACTTCCTGAACAGCCAGCAGAGTTTCCTGTTTGCAGTGAACCTCATTTTACATGGAGCCCTATCTTAATGCAATTTTTCAATCAGAAAATCTATTTTGCAAGGGTAGGAACTCTGCTTCCTGGAGCTATTGTACTGATGTTGGGTCCAATTCTGCAGTCCCTATTCCCATTCAGGCAAAAATTCCCTTTGATGTCAGTGGGAACTTCTGAGTAGGAGTTGAATGGAGGATGCTTTATGACGATGATTCTGTGAGGTCCAGAGCAATTTTGAAATACATGTGAGTTAAGAGCACTCCAGCATCTCTCAGGATCAGACTTAGTATGAAATGCAGATTATGGGCAGGAATTTAGGAAGAACTATATGCAAAAAGATGTGAAGACACTAGATTTCCCCCCCCAGTTTTAAACATTTAATAGTGCACTTATTGATTATACTCTGTACAGACATATACCAAGTTATAAACTTTTTCCTCTTGTGTTCTCTCTTAGATCTTAATCATGTAAAGCATATTTACAATAGAAGGAAAAAAAATACTTGAGGTACAAACACTCAAAAGCATATCTGAGGTATAAATACAAGTATATTTTAAATAATTATCTTTATCATGCTTTACTTATGTTTGACAGTACACTGTGGGCAAGTATACATATTTACGATAGACTGGTATGTACACCATATCATTTTACAAATTCAAAGAGTTTCAAATTGAATATAGAAGGGCTCCTTATTCATGAGAAAACGAATACATTTGCCATTAAAAAAAATAAAACTAATACTGACAATGGTAACAAAAAGTTTCAGCCACCTTGCAACTCATTCATACCCTCAGTCACAAAATACATTTTTCACATAATACTGCATCTCTAAATCAAATCCGTACTTTATAGTAAAACCTGCATAAAGACCACCTTTTCCAGAGGACCTCTTGGTTTCCTACTTCCATAACATGATTGATTGTCAGTGAGAAATATCCAAAGGGTTTTTAAAAAATTAAATGGCTCACATTGAAGCTCTCAAAGCTTCATGTTAATGTGCAGCTTTCAGAAAGGCAGGTAAAAGAGAAAAATCCATATGAATCTTCCTAGTCAACTTACTCTGTCTGCTGCCTTAGGCGTCCTGCCATCAGGATTCCTATGTCTACATTTTCTTCTTAAAAACCATTAGGATATAGCGAAACATACCATGATCATGTACAATTATTACAACACATCCAGGAGTAAATGCAACAAATATTCATTTTTAGGCAATAAAACAAACAATTTGACATTACTGGCTTTTTTGGCCACTAGAGAAGAATTTCAACACTACTTCAATCTACATAGTTTACAAGTGTATTCTGTATTGCAGTAAATTTGCTAATCACTCCTAAAAAGATCATGTGGGTATGAAACAGACAGAGCAAGTCTACTATAACAATTGCTTACAGGTTAACAATGTTAATAACACAAAACAGGCAAGAATGAAGGATTGCTGCTGCTGGTCCATTGGGTAGTCAGAGATTCCAGGTTGAACTGTATCCAATACATTAAAATCCATTCTGTGGATCCATATCAGTGTACCAGACACCATGCTTCTAGCTATTCCTTTCAACAATTACACTCATTCACACTTATCTCTGTGCAAACCTTTCTTTGCTTCTCTCCGTGAGAGCACATTGAAGAGTACCAGCTATTCCAGTGGATACACCAGTCCCTCAACACATTACAAATAAAATGACAGGTATGTACATAAAGCTAATATCACATGGGAATGAAGTATCTTTACCCCATTCCATAATATATTTGTATTAAGAGTTTTGCTTCTCAGAAGCAACTCAAACCATCTAGTAATAGTACAATATACAGTTTTGATTTTTGTTTTGCACACAGTCAGCCTATATATTCCAGTCAAGGTCTATACTACAGACCTTACACAGACAGGAAGCAGCTTTAAAATGTATGGGATGGTCACAGTCCAATTCAATATATTAGTCTTCCAAGACACCAATTGCATGCCATCCATTCGACAGTCTTCAGTTGCTAGGAATGTGTACATTGATGATGGGTTTAATGCGTAGTTGTAGTCACCTGGATTTTACTTCTTTATTACTGAAAGAGTCTCTGATTTTAGCAAC